CGCGGCGTCTCGAGGCTGGCCCATTTACCAGATGGACGTGACGGGTGCTTTTCTGCACAGCCTGATCGACAGCGAGATCTACATGAGCCCCCCGGAAGGGTTTTACCCCGCGGGATCGGTGTGCCAGATCTACAAGTCGATCTACGGGCTCAAGCAAGCCCCGCATCTGTGGTTTGAGTCCCTCCGTAAAGCACTCGCTGACTTGGGCTTTCACAGTCTCCACAGCGACCAATGTTGCTTCACCAACGCATCGACCGATGTCATCGTCCTGGTCTTTGTCGACGACCTTCAGATCACGGGATCGAACGACGGGGCGATGCATGACCTGCGATCGGGACTGAAGGCTCGGTTCAAGATGAAAGACATCCCGCTCCAGTCGTACTTGGGGCTGCAGATTGAGCGAGAACCAAACAGCCTCCGCCTGCATCAAGCTCCGTATGCTCGCAAGGTCTTGGAGCGGTTTGGGTTCGATGAGGCCAAGGCGGTTCCGACCCCGATGACGGACCACGGCCTCGGTGCCTATGACGGGCAGGAAGATGGAGATCTGAAAACTCGGTACCTTCAGGCCATCGGCAGCCTCCTCTTTCTGGCCAACCGGACACGACCCGACCTGGAGTACGCGGTCAACTTTCTCGCGCGATTTGCCGACAATCCCAGCGCCCGGCATTGGGGCGCGGTTAAGCGGGTGTTTCGCTACTTGGCCGGCACCGTCGATCTCGGCATCCGCTTCCAACAGCAGGACAGCGAGCCGTTTCTGTTCGGCTACAGCGACGCCGACTATGCTGGAGACGTCGATCAACGCAAGTCGACCAGTGGATACCTCTTAGTATTAGGGGGTGGCCCGGTGTCGTGGAAATCGCAGCGCCAGCGCACGGTCACCCTGTCGACGACGGAGGCAGAGTACGCGGCACTGACGGAAGCGATCCGTGAGGCGAACTCGATTCGCCAGCTCCTGGTCGAACTGGGGGTGTCAGTGTCACAACCGATACCGATCTACGAGGACAACATCTCGACGATCTCATTGGCGAATAACCACGCCAACCACAAACGCAGCAAGCATGTCGACGTTCGCAACCATTACTGTCGCGAACAGGCCGCCATGGGCCACATCACCATCCGATACGTCAGTACGGATGAGCAAGCAGCCGATGGCCTGACGAAGCCTCTGGGACCAGGCAAGTGGAAAGGGGTGTTGAAACAGCTTCGTCTCAGTGGTAGCATCGCCACATCAGCAGGATCTGAGGGGGTGTGTTGAAGATTTGGTCCAGATACCTTCCGATGTGGGAAGTGACAAGGAGAAGGATTAGTCATTTCTTGGTCATCATTGTAAATACACTCCAGCCTGCGGAATCTCTCTCTGAGAGTGTGTATATATATGTGCAGCATGGGAGCCATGTTTGTGATGATGAAAATAACGAAGTAATGAGGAAACATTCCGAGTCCGAGCATAATCTCATATCCTTAACAGTAACTCGTTCACGCTCCCAGCTTACTTTCGATCCCGTGGACGGTGGCAACAATGGCGCACACTTTCGAAGCATTGCCATTTTATCCCACATCCACACTACTTCCAATAATAAATGGAAAACGCCAAAATTCTGTCTTGGAAATCACCGCCGACACAAACAGGAGCTTCATCAATGAGAATAACAAGTGGATTTGCTACAAGCAGAACCATATCACTATTTGCTGCTCGTTCTGTTGGAAACCTGTTGACAGCGAAGGCCCGCTCTTCATCTCGAAGCGCACTCTGGACGAACAAATTCAGCAGTTTGGATTGTCTATTTCTGCCAAAGCAGAGAGTGGAGGCGGTAGTGCTGCGTTGTTCCTCTATCTGACGTCAACTCGCAACAAAAATAAGGCGACGATACCTCGCCAAAAGGTTTTCACTCTTGACGATCATCATGGGATTCCACGTACTGCCTCCAGGTCGATTAGCTGCACCTTCAAGAGAATTCACTTCCAGAATTCATCATTCCAACGAAGACTGAAACAACCGGAACGGCTTTCTCTTATGATTACACTCTCTGCCAATCTTTCAAGGGATCGAGACAATTGGGTCACGATTGCGACAAAGGAGTCTCATCCAGTGATTGTACGCCGTGGTAGTCCGAGTCGTTTTCACGTTAGTCGCTGTCTTGCCACACCTCAAGATCAGACATCTGATCTCATCAAGCAAGAATTCATTGCGGGCTCAGAAGACGCTTATAACGCCGCCTCCTCTTTTCCAAGCGAAACGAGTCAACTTCTGAACTCTTTATCAACCGGCCTAAACACAGTAGGCACAAGTCAGAGGGACTGTTATCCGCAAGCGAAAGTAGGCAAGATTCTTGACTCTTCACGGTACGGAACAAGTTCTTATCCACCGATACCTTCTCCAACCTTGCCGGGAGTATCCTTTGGAATAGACCAGTTCCACCTAGGGAAACTCCACTTCGATTGTATTGCTGGTGGACAGAAATCTCCCGTATATGAAGCTGGGTTCAAGGATGATGCTCAGTTGTTCATCGATGAAAATAACTCAAAAATCCCATTAGGAGATATGAGCTGGAAATCTGTACGCGTATGTGGTGATTGTGGAATAGACTACGACTTTACGAGATACAAGTAATAGACGGGAGATGTGTCCAACTCAACTAAGAGGTACCTATTGAACACCTCTATCTAAGCAATCTCACGCCTCGTAAAGGTGGTAAAGTGTGTACTGCCCAGAGCTAATAACGACGTGGGATATGTCGCTTTCTTAGCACGGGAATACGGAGTTGCGCCGCCCCCTTTGTATCAGCTCATCAGATCATCGGGCTCGTCGGCACCGCCTTATGGATTCGAGTAGCTTTCTTTATACATCAGTATCGCTCCTGTCCAGGCCAGCACGACGGACTTTACTTCCAGCAGCAGGCAGCCTATCGGAATCAAGGCTCCGCCTCGGGCGCTCTGCAAGCTCTCTTGGTGTCGGGTTCCACATCCTGCCACGGAAGATTGTGGGGTCTGCACTCTTGGTCGCGACCGTTCTGATGACCTCTTTCCACGGTTTCCTATGGCTTTGCGGCATCCAATCACGGGCAGCGGATGTTGGCGGAGAGTTTCACGTCTGACCGCGCTTCTTCATGGTTACCACGGTTTCTTATGGCTTTGCGGCATCCAATCATAGGCAGCGGACGTTGGCGAGTTTTGGCGGAGGTTTTTTTATCACGCTTTACCACGCTTCTAGTGGATTTTGCCCAGCGACCGTCGCGACCACATTTGGCTCGTATGACCACGTCCACGATCACTGAGCTGCCTCCAATTTGACTTTGTAAGGAATAATTTGCCATCAACGATTACTATGTAGTATGATACTGTAATATTGAGGAATGAATAACATCTCTCCAAACACAAAGCGCGAGACCTCATCGGACCAGAGGAGACAGGTGTGGAGACTTCGACCATAAGACGCCCAATTACTTTGCGGACATTGAGATGGCCGTGTATGCCTATAACACGGTTTTAGAGTATGTCAGATGAAACATGGTTCACGTTGTGTCGTATATCCGGCAGCGACGCGAACGAATGAATGCGAGTCTCAAGACACTACCGTGGCCTGGTAGTTTCCTCCTACTGCAGTTCAATCATCCCAACTATGCGTATGAATAGGTTCATCCCCGACTCATTGACACATGAGAGTAGTCATAGGGCCACTCGTTGTGACTCGTGTCTTTCCCTTATATGAGAGTGTTGTCTTCAGCCGCTCTCGACATCAACCCGATCGCTCTGCCCATCATCTTCTTAGAAGCACACCAGACCGCTTGATGGAGTTGTTGTTTAGCTTGAGGTGGGGATTAGGAGACAAGTTTGAGATGTTATGATCTAACTTCAAAATCAGTGAACTCTTCCGATCCTTTTGCAACTGGACGATGACACCGCTTATCAAACATTTGAGCCGATTGAAGCCTTTTTGCAGCTGGCAAGTCGTCCAGCCTGATCGCGATGACAATCTCGGGGCAAAGAACGACAAAAGCTCTTCGAAAACTCGGGCACAGACCCTCTCTCTCTCTCTCTGCAACACCAGTATCTTGTCAAGATCGGTTTCCCCTCTCGCAGACGACGAAACGATTGACTGCGATACGCCCCTCCAACGATGTGTCACGGCAGCCCTTCGACGCAAAGGTCTACCTTGACCATTGACAAACAGTATACAACTCGAATGAGGCAAAGAAGTCCACTAGGAGGAGGCGAAATGACGGATGATGTGATCGCTGTTGGAACATATTCAAAGTGCAGGCTGTAACAATTATTACGTACAAGTCTAGACCTCGTACTAGGCTCAAGTTGCTCCTTTTACAACCCCATTTAGACGCTCATTTTTACTCCCTAGGCCTATTTCACAGGCGCTCGTTTGATGCGGCGATCAACTAAAGGAGGAATCTTCACTCCTTTTTACATAGAAAACAGCCTCCCAGTCATCGAGGACAGTCTCGACGATACAATACATTGAACCCTTGACACTCAAATTGCCTAGTGGTTGCATTCCGTCTAGCCTAACTCAAGTGTTTTTGATTTTTAACAGCCCGAAAAGAGGCGACCAATTTCCTATCAGAGTTACGACTCACGTCCAATTTCTTAAATGTGAGCTCCACGATGTAATCTGAAGAAATGGTCCAAGCTTTTTCTAAATGTAAAGAAGGGGAGCAACACCAGCTCCTACCAGGGTGGTAAACACCCGGAAGTTCCGCACAGGCCTCAAGATAACCAGCCTCCTCAAACGTGAGGCTACAGCACCTATGGACCAATAAGTCTGGCAAGAACTGCAAAACTTCCCCACGCTAACGTAGCCGTACCATCCAATGATCTGCCTGGCCTTTTATTCCTGTCTGGTATCTCCCGAGTTATGCAGGGATGGTTTCAGCTTCGTAGACGCGCGACGCTTCCTTGCCCTCTGGAACCAGAGTCGTGAAGCTGTCTCCTCCTCTTCGAACTTTTCCAGTCACATCCCACCCTCGAGATTTTCCTAGGTCGCATTTTGATAGGCATCCGGTTTTGGAGGGTTTCTTGGTCGTCAAATTCCAGCCACACAGCCTTGAACGAAGTCATATAATCCTGTGGGTAGACCTTTTTGCTCTGCAGTGCAATTGAGCAGTCTGCTGCTGACTATATTGCAAACTTTTCCTCTTGTGTTCTCAGCCGAACTTTCTTCAATGGCAACCATGACACGACCAAGCGAGAACCTATCCCGACCTAATGGGCACCATAAACATGACTATGAAGTGATCACACAAGAAGGAGGCACATTTATGGCCAGGTTAGCTGTTCACAAATTGGCCATGGCATCATCTAATCCTGTAGATCAGCAGATAATCCACATCTGTTGCGGATTTGGGAATATGCACAGGGATGGATATGGGTCAATGATAATATGAACCCTTTTACCCAGCATGGAATCAGGCGGGATCACGAAGATGAGATTGAGTCAAAAGGACAATTATATGAAGAGATCAGGAAAAACCTTCGACGCGATGTAGAGGCTGGTGCGAAACAGGTCAGAGAGTTTCGAAGCCCTAGCAAAGTGGAAAGTTCTCGAGCTCCCAAAGCGCAATTACGCCGGGCAGGCCGTACATGCGTCCGTGCGAAGTTCGAAATTCCTCTTCAGCCCAAAGTCGTTGACGACAGCCCTCCGCCACGATACAATCGATACAACAAGCCTGAGCTTAAGATGTCGTCCTGAAAGCGGTTCGCAAAGATGTCCTCTTTATTCGTGACTGAATGGGTCTCCACGTAGCTCTCTATGGGAATCGAAATCCACACTCCGGAGAAAATGCTGTCTATGCGTGGTGATTATATTGATGTTCATGAAAATGAGACAACAGATAATGGGAAGGCATTGTGACACCGGCTAATGTAAAATCACTTGCCTCTTTCTGGTAGCTGCTCCGTATCTCCTGGCAGATGCCGATAATGCGCAACTAGTTACAAGACTGAGATGGCTGCGCGAGAACATAATGTCGCCATTCAGTACACTCTCATGGCAACTGCAATGGTTTCGAATGCCTACCAGGCCGTTCAAAGAGTTGGATCTCGGACTCCAAGACTCGGCCCTGGTTAGGGTACCCGATAGCAATGGTAGAGGAGATGATCTGTAGGTCCTGGCGTCGCTGTCACAGACAGAATACTTTGACCCTACTCATTTCCCTACATCCGCATCGAATCAACGGATCGTGTTAGCGTTTTGGATGTAACACAACCTATCTAAGCTGGTGGTTTAGGCCGCGCACCCAGGAGTATAAAATGGAAGAGGCTGGGAGGGATCAAAAGTGACCCGTGGAGAATACGCCAGCTGTTTTTCTCCTCGCCTTGGCTTCAAGCTTTCGAAATCTCTTTTTAATTCACTTGGGCCTGCCACTTTCTACCAAAAGTGTTCGACAGCAATAGCAGCTAGCCTTTTGTGCTGTCTTGTAACGACGCTCAAGCATACTCGACCAGTAGCCAGTATGAATTGCTGTCCCAACGTGATATTGCATGGCACTTTCTACTTTACCTCGTGCCATGCCCGCCATTCACAAGAGAACGAGACACCGGACCCATATCGGACGACTCACAACTCTTTCTTGGCTAAAGACAAAGAAAGGCTATTCAGACTAGAGTCCTCGCCTCCGCCTGAAACTTGTGGTATGAAAGGAGAGAGGACGTTTGCATATCAATCTAAGGACGGAGCCGGTGATCCACATAGCAACGACGGATTTCACGGCTTGGGATACACCTCACCTCCTCGGTCGAAGAATTATGTCCATATCTACGATGACGACGATGACGACGATGACGACGATGACGACGATGAAGCTCGTAGGAACGGCTACGGACATCGAAGGGTTGACTTTCGTACGATCTCAGGCCCTCGTCATGAACGTGAGGATACTATCGATGAGCAATTATATCGATACAGCACTTCCTACTCTCCGCAGTCTTCACCAACAATGCCCGCCACGGAAGCAGATGCTGTCAGGGCCAGAATTCCCGCAGGGTATTCCGTCAAGCACTGGGATCCCATGGAGCTGCCTGTTATTCTATTGGGAAGTGTCTTCGACGCCAACTCGCTAGGCAAGTGGATCTATGACTGGACGGTAGTCCATTTCGGCGCCTCTACACCAATGGCTGATATGGCGGGGGAGTTGTGGCTACTTCTAATCAAACTTGCGGGCAAGATGAAAAAAGCCGAAGAGTGTGTCGGTCGCATCCCTACACTAAACGGACTTGAGGATGTCGAGTCCTTCCTTGAAGGAGGTTATGTACTGTGGAACAAGTTCAAAAATCTCATCAGAGTTTGCGAAAGACCTATGCTGAAGAGTATAAAGCGTCACGGCGCAGGCAAGATGGGCAAGGACGGAGCAATGGAGTTCGTTAACACACTCTTTGGTAGGGATCGCCTTCTGGAGTCAACTGAACGGATAATGAGCCAGATTCGACTTTGGACCAATCGTTTCGACATGAACTGCGAGGAGACGATCAAGTATCAAAGAGGCGCAAATAACCTTCGGCCCGGCGGGAAGCACTTTTACGCGGCCACTTTTGAAGTCGGAAAGATGAAAGCCAGATAGTTCCTGCTTAGCAGGTGTCATAGATGCAGTATTTCTCTACATCCAGAGTAAATTTTGTGGTTGGAAACCTTCGTTGCCAGCCTTCCTGAAAAACCGGGTAATCTACTTGACCACATATGGCACAGCCATATAGCCTTTTGCCCATGATGCTGAACAGTTGGATATCAATTGACGATTTTCGTGGGTTTCCTTCTGTGCTAAACCCAGATTGTTGCTCCCGAATTCGAAATTCGAAAACCTAAAAAAAAATGACAAGCGTCCAGTTGGGTTGCTTTTCCTCGTATGCAACCCGGTGGGAGGAAAATTTTGCGCAAATTTTTTCTCAGTTGCACCGCGCTTTCTCATTAACCTGCTGCTTCCGAGAATGAGAAATAGTGAGGTTGGATCCAGGCGAATATGGAGAAGCAGGCTCTTTTTCAAGTCACGACACGAGGACTGAAACGAGGCTGGGTAGAGCCCCACTCACATATTCTCAGTTTCCATACAGTCTATATCGTAACTTCTTTTGTCTTTAACTCCAAATAACGTCTCTGTGAGCATGTCTACGAGGTCTCCTACGGCAAAGTTAGCAGCGGCTAGCAAAAAGAAGAGGTCGATTGCGAGGCTTGAACCAATCCAGGAAGAGGACGGTGTGGCAGATTGGGGCAATGTGAATATATTGACTGCCAAACCAGGTCGAACTGAGGGCGCCAGGCAGTTAGTTAGGGTATTATGATTGCCATCAGCCCAGGCTCTCCTTCTAACGGTGATCCTAGATGTGTTTGGCCACGGTGTCGACTCCGTGTGGCGTTTGTCCCAAGGAGATTAGGTCCTCAGAAACTTTTGCAAGGACTCCCTGCCTTCATAATGTCCACCGACAATGCGCACCAAGTCTTATATGGGCAGTGGCGTCTCAAGAGAGAACATACGAACTTTGTCAATTCTGTTCTAGAGCTCACGACTGGATTCTGCTCCGTGTATGCTACAGGGACTTCTTGGATCACCAACCCCAGGCACAATTGCTTAGTTACGTGACTGAATGGTACGCGAGAAAGGAACTCTTGCAAGGCAAAGAATGGATTCATGAACACAGAATTGATATCTTGGCCAAAATTTGGGCTTCATCATTCTCTTCGGAAGATACCATGAAGGGAACTTTGGTCAAACGCATCATGGAGGATTCCAATGTTCGAAGACAGCTTGAGACAGATATGTTGACATAGCATCTCTGTACTCTGCGTACAAGCCAATTTCCGGATTCAACCGGCAACGAAATAGTACATTCATTGATGGTATATCTAGTGCTAAAGGATCGGATTTACTTATTCTCAACTGCTACAGTGGTTCAGGTGATTCTCTTCTCGCTGCCACAACCACACCTGGTACTCTTCACGTGACTTGCATTCTTCCAGCATAGGAACATCACGTGCCCTCGCGCTAACTGTTCCCTTGCCCTTCTAGCTGTGGTCGCGCCACCGAAACTCCTCGCATACAGAGTCTATCGTGCAGTCATTCAGCTCTTCTCTAGGACTCAATCTTTTTCAAGAGCAGCTATGGAAAGAGATTGTGAGAGAGCTTCAACACGATGCACAGCTTCACTCGCAAGAAAGTTCCAGAACCTGGTAGAGCAGAGAAACCTCCTTCTCAACAGCGTATCATACCCTGCTTCCTCCTCCTCAGTTTGCAGTGTCACGATCCCCTTGACAGAGCCTGGTTAACGAGGGAATCCACCAACATTTGATCGGTATAAGAAGCCAAGGCTTACCACAGAAACCTCCAGGGTCTCAAATCTTTCGCCTGGATGGATCGGCTCTTCCGCCCGCTCTAGCGTGGCGTTTGTTCAGGTTCTCATATCGAACTTAGGGCTCTCGTCTAACCCAACTTTCCGACCTTGTTGTGCCGTTCGAGCTGTTGCTTCATCCGCCTTGTTGCATGCGACTATCGTTTCCGGGTTTCGCTTTGACATATGGGGTCGGTTTTTGTAGGATCCACAACACGGACGGAAAGAGTTGGCATCGGTTGGACATTGCCATTTTTGATGGACATTGCCGCAAAGTCTGCAGAGCTGAACGGTATTCTTGGTGGAGGGAAAGCGAGAAGCCGACATAGTTGGAAATGAACTTTATTGAAGCTATGCAACCGATACACCTTTGTCAAGGAGGTCGAGGCAGCTTTTATCTTTTGGGAGCACCCGTTCCTAGTAACACAGGAACATTTCAGAGGAACATTTCAGAGGAACATTTCAGGGAGCAACCTATGTAGCCATCCCTGTACAGTCTCGATAGCCCCGACAGACTGAAAATAAAGGCGGGTGGAGTAGTCTTCCCCTCTACGCAATGGACATCTCGAAACTAAAGTTATTAGTCATTTTTATGGCATCGCGTAGAATGGCTTGCGGAAACGGTGAGACGGCGAGATAATGATTTCCAATCATTTCAGCCTGGCCGTCCCTTTCTGGAACAAATGCGACATTGAATTTGGAGGGTGGCAGGTCGAAGTCTGAGATAGAAGACCAATCATTTCGCAGGCAGCAATCAGGAGACAGGGGATTCCGAAAGGTTGGTCGGTGACCATGTAGGAGGCCGGCAGAAAATGGTTGACGTGATAGCGTATCGATGGCATCGATAACAAGTTGTTTGGATCGTAGGAGTGCAGCCTCCTCACGGTAATAACTAGCCCGAGTTCTATGGAATGCTGAGGCCGGCAGGTACGCGTCAAAATGGATCACTTGCAGGACTATACGAAGGCGTCTCCGGTAGAAAATAAAAATCCATCGATCCCTCACTGTTTCGCAAGGCCTTCTCTTTCCTTTCCAAGCCGTCAAGTGGTCTACAATTGAAATATGGCGCGCACGAAGCAGACTGTATGTGTATGCTTGACTGATAAATTTATGTGACTTACCTTCTAGGCACGTCTCTCTACAGGTGGCAAACAACCCCGTCGAGCCCTTCACACCAAAACAGCACGAAAGTCCTTGAAAGCGCGTGCTGCTGTTCCTTCAACCGGAGGTGGCAGGTTTTTAATCCTGTCCTGAGTTCCTCCATCGGCGATGCTAATCGTGCACAGTGAAAAGAGCACGTCGGTATAGACCGGGAACGGTTGCTCTCCGAGAGATAAGACGTTATCAGGTCAGTCGTGAGTGCCTTCATCGTTTGAGTCTGACTGATACGTGGTCAGAAATCCACCGATTTGCTGATTAGGAAACTTCCTTTTCAACGCCTTGTCCGAGAAATCGCCCAGAGTTTCAACTCGGATCTCAGGTTTCAATCATCAGCCCTGGGCGCCCTTCAGGAAGCTGCTGAAAATTATTTGGTGTCGCTTTTTGAAGACACGAACTGGTGTACCATTCATGCCAAGCGAGTCACCATACAGTCCAAGGATATCCAATTAGCCAGACGGCTCCGCAACAATGGGATTTCTGTACCATAATGTAGTTCTCAGATAGCTTTATCATCGAGTGATACATGACAAATAAAGCTTCTTGAATCCTGAAATATCAGCAACAATGACATTTCCTGTTCTGGCCGCAAACAATTCGATCATGCAAGTGATAAATATATGCTAACTTCTGCGCAGTGCACGAAACTTGATCGATGTTTGTCCAATGAGTCTTACGAGAACGACACATCATGCATCGATGGTCTTAGGAAACCGTCAGTGGCGAGTGCGGTTAGATCGACAATAGTATGGCGAAATGTCTCAGGTCTTGATTCAGGTTTGATTTCAGCATCCCACTTTGCGGCGTAACAGAGCTTGGGAAGGTGGCTCAGAACACGATTGAGATACATTCCACTTCTGGACCGGAAAAGCTTGATTTACTGATAGACAAGTATAGCAACTTCTGCTTGTGAGCAAGACTTAGTCCTTGTTTTCGGGTTGCGCTTGGTCCAAGTGTCGAGTTTTGAAAAACGCGAGATATCGGTTGGTCGACCTTCGAAAGCGTGAATCAAGGCCAATCCGCTTTTCCCATCTATCATTCAACTCGGAAATGCTCACCGCATGGTTCCCTGCCGATCGCCCTGCTTGGATGGGCTGACCTGCTTCACATATAGAGCCTCCTCATCGTCGTCTTCGATTTCACGTTGTTGCACCAGATCTTGACCAAAGTAACGTTTTAGATCCTCCTCATCTCCAGTGTATCTTATCAAACATTTCCCATCGTCCTGATCAATTTCTTCGATTTCAGGTAACTGGCCCCTGGCTTCCTCTACCCTCGCAAAGCTTGCTTTGACCCAGTAATGTTGGTAATAGAATCTCTTTCTACCGTTCGTGGTGTGAGAGGAATTCATGTTGTCTTGGTTGTTTTGTGCTCTTGGGTGTGAAACTGTGTAATCGCGACTGGTATAAACCTTTCGGAAACAAGGTTTGCAACTCAAATGATCTTTGAAGTGTTCCAAGTGAAGAGTGATAGGCACACAATGATATGATGTGAGCTTTATAATACATGCCTCAAGATTTGTTGTTTCATTACCTTGACCGATGTCACCCTGAGTTGTTTATCGGGACGCCAAAATCAACTTGATTGGCCCTATAAGGTCGCGATGTATTGAGGACAATGTACAACAACGACTCATGCAACGGTCCATTTTCTTCTGGCGCTAAGCCACCTTGTGATCCATTTCACCTAGCCATATGGCTCTTGCAATGGGGCACAGGTGAGTCTTGTGAGCGCGTAAATCTAGATCTTCACACAGTCAGCAGCTAGTCTCAACCAATGCTTTGAGTCTTGCTCTCTTTGCCTTCCTGTCTGTTTCACTATATGGAAGATATTTCAAGGCATCGCTGTGATTATCCCGTCACTGGCAACGAATGCTTGTCTCCATTACATGAGTGTCACTGGGCGCAGGGCCCAATACAGTCACTCTAAACCCTCAAGACCTACGGCGATAACCTACGGAGATTGGCTCCCGTTGAAGCATCGTTGTGAGCTCCTGGATGAGACGAGCGTTTGGGAGGAGAAAAATGTGGAGAAGGAGGAGAATCGAATTGTCACTTCGTATGATGGATGAAGAAGTGCGTCA